TGATGGATGATAGGAGTTCAGTCCCAGGGACCTGCATAGTGGAAGGAGAGACCTGACTCCTGTAAGCGGCCTTCTGACCTCCACACCTCACCTGTTGTGGAATGTGTCTGTGTGCACACACATACACACAAACATACAAACCAAAAACATTAATGCCAAGAATCTCAGCACTCTCCTTCACACAGGTGTGGAAGAAGGAAAGCAGAGTTAGTAGTTTACTCTTAGCCCACATCAGGAGAAGTTTAGGGTGATAAAAGTCTAGGGTTTCTGGGTGGAACAGTGCTGATCATCTGTGGACCTCCTGGGCCAGAGATGACTGTACAACTCTCTACTGGCTCCATTGACTTGCAACCACCCCAAGCCAGAGTGCTGGGAAAGAGCTATGCTCTAAGTCTCCCACTCACATCAGCACCAACCCAAAGAAACAAAGAAAAATCTGCCCATGCTGTTCCCAGCACCAGGCCTATAAAGCAGGTTCTTTCTTCCAAATCCCGCACCAGGACCCTTTCAGGGAAATCGGAACTCTTATAAATCAACTTTTCCCACAGTTTCCACCTCATAATGACAAGGGAGTGGACTGTGTTATGATTGCCCCAGGCTTATATGGCATCATGACATCCTTAGACTAAGATGGCTTACATCAGTTAGCAGTGTAACCTTATGGGACCAATATCCTATGTGTAGTCTGCTGTTGACCAGAACGTTACATGGTATACGAACGACCATGCAGTATCAAGGTGTGCCACCGGGGCTGTAAGTTTGGAGACACCAAAGTTAAAGAGAAGAATGAATTCTGGATACAAATCTCATCCCTGCCACAAAAGTCTTCCTTTGTGGGTCATTGACACACAGTTCATGCACCCTGGTCTAGTGCGAGCAAGCTTCTCCTTCAACCCAGTCACTGGTGAGAACAGCTGGGAATTCCAGGGCAGTCAGGGAAGGATCTCAGGGCTCCTCTCCCCCTCATCATCTTTTTATTGCCCTGCAGTTCATTGTCTCACTCTTTCCTTTACCTCCCACCACCATCCTTTTGCTCATACAGATCTTGTGGGAAACTGCATCTGGAGAGGGTGTTGTGTTTCCTTGGAATGTTGCTGGATGAGAGATCTCAGTCAAATGGCCGGCTGACAGGATCACTTCCTCCTTTCTCCATCTGCTCTTTCTGGTTCAATATGGAGCAGCTTCAAAGCTCATCACAGCTAAGGCTTGGGGCTCTTTCCCTGATTTCTGCCTCTCATCTCCTGTGCATTCCCCAGGAACTGTCAAGAGGTGGGAACCAGGTAGCAACAATGCATGGAGGCTCTGAAACTAAAAGAATAATTGAAAAAAAGAAAAAAATCCCAGGGAGTCCATTCCCTTTGGCTCCAAGTTCACATATGGTCAGCACATTAGAGACCTCATTCAAAAGACCACATCAGGACTGGGGTGAGGACAGGGCTTGGGACTTCTGTCATTGACACACATTGCTTTCCCTAAATCATGTGGGCAGTCAAGGTCCTGTGCCCTCCAGCTCGCTGCAGCTTTGCCCATGACATTGGTCTTAATGCAACATGATGCCTCTTATAGAATGGACTTTCTCTGGAGATAAAGTAGCAGTCTTCATGAGTGATTGCTTCCAGACCCAACAAAGAGGAACGCATGTGTTTGAGATGCCTGCCATTCTTCTCCACGGCACCGTAAAGTAGCCAACTTCATTTTGCACAATACTGTTTGATAACAACCATGTGTGTGTCTTCTGTATTTATAGACTTGGGAAAGGACCTACTTGGTCAGTGTGAGATAATTTCACAAGCAAAATGGAACCAGATGCTGCTGCTTCTTATTCGGCTCTTCAAACCCTGGCAATCGAATTCCCAAGGTCACTCTTTACCCGGTTTTCTGTTGCCTTCCAGAAGAGGCTCCTTTTCCTCAGCAGCTGTCTTTCCATGGTACCTAAGAAGCAGGAACAGGCGGAATTTGAGGAAGCTGGTTCTCAGCCTGGCATTTTCTTGCCTTCCCAAGCATGGAGAAACAGCAGGGCAGATGCTTCTTCCTCTTGGAACAGACCGTCTCTCAGGTGGTAGTCTTACCTGCTGTTAACTAAACTGTTCTTTTAGCTTCCCAGAATATACACGACTTGCGAGACTGGAATCCACAAGTGCTGAGATGATGCCTTCAAAACTCCAAAGCAAAGGATGTGGGCGGGGCCGACGCTGTCGGACAGAACTTGCTTTTTATCTTCATTCCTGTACTTGGGGTTTGCTTGTTTATCAGTGGTAGACCTGTCACAGTGCAGCTTTTGCATTGTACAAATCGTCCAGCCAAGGGAAAAAGTGAGAGCTGGAATCTTAGCTATGCACCCCTTATCAGGCCAGGTACCCCAATGTGATATCTACATATGAAAGAAGAGAAACCTTATCATTCCTCCACAAAGAAGTCAATTGTTCATCGAGTTGACTTTACATTTTTCAGAAGAAATGCTTTTTTTTTTTTTTTTTTTTCCTGAGAAGTTGTTGGTGCTCATGGTGCCTGGAAGACTGTTGATAGCCTGAGAGATGAATATGCAAATGCAAGAGAATATGTTGTGTGCTTCACAGTGAACCCCACTCCTGTACTCTGGGCTGTCTTTGGGAAGCGGCAAAATAGCTCATCAGAAGAGCTTTAAACACAGGGTGGAAACCATGTGACTCTGTACCACTGTGACGCTTTCTGCGGCAGACTTAACTAATCAATCCCAGAACTCTTTTACCATGAGCTCAAATTGGCCTCATAGTCCTTCTGAATCCAGTAGATCACACTATTGGGTCATTGCAAACAGTGGATTCTGTAAAATAAGAGAGATCCCTCTGAGATGCCCTCAGCACACACTAGCTACAGTCACAGTAATGCTACATAACAAAAACACCCCCAGACAAAAACCATGTATCCTTTCTCACCATCTTTGGACAGCCAGAGTTTGGCTTTGGCACAGCTGGGCTTGGCTTCTCATCAGAGGCTGGGCTCGGATCTGCTCAATGTGTGCCCGTTCTGGAGCCCTGCCAAGAACTCATAATTCACTAAAGCACATCCATTCATCTTGTATCCAAAGCAGAGACACAAGAGGACCAGTCCAGCGTATAAGCATTTCTTTTCTTTCTTTTCTTTTCTTTTCTTTTTTTTTTTTTTGTAGTGCTGGGGCAAACCCAGGACTTAAAATGCATGCATGCCAGGTAAGTGTTCTGCCACTGAGCTACACCCCTTGCCTGGCACATTTTTAACCTGCTGATATCATGTCCACCAGCATCTCCTTACTTGAAACAAATGATGCTGCGCCCAAAACTCAAAGAATGGAAAACACATCCCTATTTCTAAGACCAAGACCAGGGTGAAGAATTGTGACCAAGCATTGGCACAGCCATGTGATCTTTCAGGGATGGTATCAAACCACATTTGGAGTGATGTCCTATGTCTAGCTGGGTCTCCTTTAATATCAGTATTAAATCCACCTTAGTCATACATGCATTCTCCTGGACCAGAGAGTTAGACGACAGGAAGGATGAACTTCTGAACCCAGAATCAGCCTATAGTGGTCACTTATATTATATACCCCGGATGATGAGTTTGGCGAGTAGTGCTGTTTGACCTAGATCTGAAAAATGTTTTTGCTCAAGGGAATGGGTACACATGAAGAGTGAGAAAAAGGCCAGGCAAACTCAGAAGCCTGGATTTCAGAGTAAATGATTGGGAAGAACAGATAATACAGTAGAAAAGAGTCCAAATGGTAGAGTGCTAGCCTGGAATGCATGAAACTCTAGCTTTGATGCTCAACACCAAATAAATGAGACATTTGCTGGGTGGTAGTGGTGCACGCTTTTAATCCCAGCACTCAGGAGGCAGAGACAGGCGGATCTCTGTGAGTTCGAGGCCAGCCTGGTATATAGAGCGAGACCCAGGACAGGCACCAAAGCTACACTGAGAAACCCTGTCTTGAAAAACCAAAATAATAATAATAATAATAATAATAATAATAATAATAATAATAATAATAAATAAAGGAGACTTTCAGCTCCAACACTTAGGAGGTAGAGACAGGAGGATCAGAAGTTCAAGATCATCTTCGACTATATATCAAGTGGATGGGTAGCCTGAGCTTGAAAAAAAACAAAAACAGAGTATTCGAAATGGCCCTTGGGATAAGAGTCCCCACACTAGAAGTCGGTGTTCCAGAGACCTCTGTCAACTCAGAAAGCTTTTCTCTCACCAAAAGATGAGGATCCCTTCAAGCCATGACACACCTCCGTCAGCACCAAAGCTTAACTCAGAAAATGCTGGAGCCAGGACCTTCCCTCTAGGAGTTCATGAGATGGAAACAAGGGGTGAAAAGATAGAGAACTCAGACATCGGAGGCAGGCAGGTAGCAGAGGGAGTTCCCACCATGGGTGAGGGAAGGAGGAACCAACATCAGGACTCCCTGGAGGAAGAGAGAGGGTGCTGCCCCATCAGAAAAGTCCATGGTTTAATAAAGGTCACGGACGTAGAAGTGGCCACAGGAAGAGGAACTTACTGTGGGCTGAGCTGAGAGGGGAGGAGGGGATGGGGGCAGTGAAAGCCTATGATCTTACATGGGTACGCAGCTCAATTTATGGTTAAGAGTTCTGTGTCAGGGCAACAAAGGAGCTCGAGAAGACAGAAAAGATTTCCCCCTAAGAGGCATTTAGCTGCCTTGAAAACACAGAAGCTAAAGAGACTCAGTAAAGGGCTTGCCACACAAGCCTGAGGATCTGAGTTCAATACCCAGAACCCGTGTAAAAAGCTGGACAGAGTGACACACATCTGCTATCCCAGAGCTGAGGAGGCAGGGACGAGATCTCAGGAACTCAGTGGCCAGCCAGTCCAGCCAAATCAGTGAGTGGCTCTGTCTCAAAAAAAAAAAAAAAAAAAAAAGGATGGGGACACCTGGACCCACATGCAAGGGTGTATACAAACATACAACATACACATGGCTGCAAAGAAATCTTAGTGGTGAGAGAAAGGAAACGGTGGGCTTGGATGTAGGCTGGCTAGTAGGATGCTTTGCGAGAACACACAAAGCTGTGGGTTCGATCCCTAGCACCGTGCTGTTCCATGCTTATAAGGCTAGCTCTTGGGAGGTGGAGGCAGGAAGGTCGGGAGTTCAAGACCAACCTGGACTACATGAGACTGTGTCTGGGAGAGGAGGTGCTGGGGAGACTGGTTATGCTTTTATCTGTCACCTTACCAGAAGGAATTAATGGGGGTGGGGTGCATCACCTACATTTCTCATGGTGTGGACAGGGTGCCCCTGTCAGGCTGGGTTCTATGTTTTGTGAATTACTACAGACATGTGAAGATTATTGTGATCCCCATTTACAGATCAGAAAACTGGGGTTTCCTGATGTTAGGTAACTTACCCAATGCCACACATCATGGGGTAGAGAGTTGACAGTACTGGAATTCGAAGCTGGGTGCCTGAATCAGGAACAGACACCTTAACCACACTACTACAACATCTCTAAGAGGTGTCACTTGCCCAAAAGACTCAGCCAACACTGCATTTGATTAGACCCAGTCAGCAACTGCGATGCCTTTGTGAATCTGGATCGTGAGAACGGAGCTGTCAAATCTGGGGTCATGCAGAATACTGCTGTGAACGAAGAACAAGCCTCCTAACTCCACCAAGACCCTTGGGAAAGGTCGGTCTCCTATCAAATGAGCCCCCCCATCTTCTGTCACAGCGTGTTTTCTTGCCCTGTGAAGTCAAGTGCTCCTGGCAGCCGAAGGGAGGCTGACAGAATGATGCAGTCCCCTTTCAAGCTGGTTCCCCGAGTCTGGCATGTAGGCAGGTGAGTCATTGATTTCCCCTCTCTCCTCCACAGAGCACTGCCACAGGTACATGGATTAAAGGCAAGGAAGAAAGACTGAATTGAATGGTCCAGGTTGAAAGGAAACTTTTGAAACAGGTTTGAAGACTCCAGTCGGGGGTGGGTTTGGAGTGTGAAATGCCAGCTACCAGCTCCAGCTGCCTGGCCTTGTTTAGATGAGGTTGCAGGGAGGGAGAAGTCACATAATTACCATGCCTCTCCGAAGCTGAGAGGAAGGAAGCCGCTTTCTTGTGTCTTTCTTTGGTTTTTGGCTGCCTGTGTGTGCTGTTCCGCAAGTGTGACTTTGAGCTCGCGTTTCCTAAAAAGTGATTACGGTTTTGCTTCAGTGTCAAAATCCACAGATGCTGGGGCTCGGGATTTCTGAGGAACTGCCTCAACCTCAGGGGAGTCGATTGAGAAGCCCAGCAGAGGTGGAGCTATCTGACATTGATGCAGGACAAACCTTGTCCTGCTCTGAGACCCTGTGGAACAGTCTGGGGAATTTGTCTCCAGTAGAGGCCAGTGGAGACGAGAGAGTCTTCTGGGGAGTGGTTTATCTTAGGAAAAAAGAAAGCAGAGGGAAGTGTTTGAGACTGCCAAACAAGGAACTTGAGTGTATAGCCACAAGTGCTCCACGGGTGTCTGTCCTGGGCCTGGAGACATGTTAAATTGTGTGACAAACGGAATCCATTTTAACCGCTTTTGACAGCAACTTTGAGAAGCAATCCTAGCAAAAGAAAAGAAGTGAGCTCTCTATGTTCCTCCTTCCAGACCAAAGGACTCAAGGTTTGGTTTTTGAAAGGGGTCAAGGCAGGAAAGATGGCCCAGTAAGGGCACTTACCATCTAAGACTGACAGAGCTGAATTCCATCCCCAGAACCCACTGTCAGGGAAGAACTGACTCCTGAAAAGGTGACCACCATGTACACACACACACACACACACACACACAGACACACACACACACACACAGACACACACACAGACACACACACTATGATGATAAAGTAATTTAAAAATAAATGACCAAAAGGGAGAAGAGAAGATAATTATTTAATATCCTTTCTCTTCTCTCTCTCTCTCTCTCTCTCTCTCTCTCTCTCTCAACATTACTGGACAAGGTTGAGAGGGAGGGAATCCTGGGTATCACGTACACCAACTAGGCAAGTGCTTTACCACTCAGCCATAGCCCTGGCTCTCTCTTCACTTTTTATTATGGGGCAGGTGCTTGCTAAGCTACCCGGGCTGGCCTTGAACTCTCTACAATGGCAAAGTTGGCCTTAATCTTGTAGTTCTCTTGCTTTTGCCTTCCCAGCAGATGGCGTTATGTAAAGAAGATTCTGAGTGCTGGTACCAGCCTTCCAGAAGTCCCATGGGATCCTGGAACAACAGACCTTCCAGGGGCCATAAAAGTCACACACACACACACACACACACACACTAGCAGGAAGCCTATTGACACATACCTCTCGAATGCTCACATGTGTCTACAGGAGCACATGCATGGACATGTGGAAGTCAGAGGCCACTATCTTTTGTCTTCCTCAATTAGTCTTCACCCTCAGCTTTGAGACTAGACCCGAGGAAGTCCATTGATAGAACCAGAAAATGGTCGCTGAGCTTCTGAAGATCCGGTTGTCTCTGTTCCCCACCTGTCCCCCAGCACTGGGGTACCCTATGGAGGGGTCACCACTACGTTGTCCTTCTACATAAAACTCATCTGGAGCTATTCATGACTCACTTAGAAGTGTTTGGGAAATAAATGGGCTGGTTTAGAGGTAAAGGACATGACTCTCTTGTTCTGAAGAGTTCAAGGGCAGTCGATAGTCCAGACATGATCAGTGTGAAGTTGCTTCACAAGGCAAGGTCACTGGCCCATTAAGATATTCAAGATGTCAAGGCTAAGTCAAACAGGTTCATGGGCCAGTGTCAATGGACCATACTCTGAATGCCCTGGTCTAGAGTAGGCAATCCCAGTAGGCTTAATTATTATTTTTAGTGTCGCTTATATTAGAAAAAGGATGCTTGATGTTATTGAGATGGAGGTGGTTGAAAGTGGTAGTGAGCAGAGCAGGTAATCATGACTCAACTCATCAATGACTTGGGATGTGACCAAGTTATTGCAGTAAAAGTGCCCACATGTTCATGAGCTACAGACTGGTGTCACCTCGAAAGCTGTGGCAATTGTGATTTATGATACTGCTTGTGGGTTGTAACTTTGACAGTGGTAGCTCATTTTAATTTGCTCATGAATAACTTTCCAGGAAGAAAGACAGGAAACTAGAGAGGAAGAAATTGTGAGCAAGAATAACATCACACATATTAGCATATTTGAAAATGAGCTGGTTTCCTCAGTTTTAGTCATTTGTGGTTTGTTTTGCTGTGTTAGTAATTGGACCTAGGGTCTTGTGCATGCTAGGCAAGAACTCTACCACTGAGCTACGTTTCTAATTCCTTTTGTATTTTTATTTTTGGACAGGGTCTTGCTAAGTTTTTCAGGTAGACACTGAGCTTCTTTGCTTCTATCTCTTGAATAACTGGGATTAAAGGTTTATATGATGAGTTGAGTGTCAGCCTGGGCTATAGAGTAAGACCTTTTTCACACACACACACACACACACACACACACACACACACACACACACACACACTAGCAGGAAGCCTATTGACACATACCTTTAATTTGTTATCTTGTAATCCCCATGCTACAGAGGTGGAGACAGTATGTCCCTGGGACTAACCGGCCTGCCAAGCCAGCCCACTTGGTGAGTTAGAGGCCAGTGCGTGACCTTGTCTCAAAAAATACCAGAGGCAGTCGGAACTTAGGAACAATGCCCATGGTTGTCCTCTGACCTCCACATGCACACACGTACACACACATGCATGTACACCTGCACACAGTGTATGTGTACACACATGAATATGCACACATGCACACACACACAGCAAAAGAACATCTGGAGCAGGTGTGTTCACCTAGGAGAGAAATCAAAGGGACTGAAGAATGTCAATGAGGTGATAAGAAATATAACAACAATTTCTCCTGGTCCCCATCTTAGGTTTGAATTCGTAAAACTGAACCTGCACCAATATAGCCTTTGGACAGATCACAAAAGGGTCTCCAGAGAGTTCCCATGCCCAGAGGGCAACCCCAGCGCCATTCTTTCCCTCCACACCACTTAGCTACCTCCCACCCCTTCTGTGTCTTCCAGTTACCAAATCGGAATCAAACATCTATTTGATTAGGAGAAAAACATTCTAAACCTCAGCCCAAGAACAATGGATCCATAATTAAAAAAAGATTTTTGATCTTTAAATAGACAACTCCACACATGTTCAACGCATAGGGAAGCAGACAAAAGAAAGCTCACCACTTGGAACATTTCATTCTTCTTAAGCATGCAGATTGCTAAGAGCCAGCAGCTCGTGCTGTGGGTGTCCTAGCCGCTTGCTTGGCATCAATGGGTAGTGGAGTCAGGGTGAAGGGAGGAGGGCATCCTTTGGCCAGGGCTTTGCACACTGCATTCTACCCCTTCCGGTAATACCAATCTCGTAATACCAAATCTTCATAGAAAGAGCCCGAACTCAAGACCGTCTTAGTAAGTTTGAAAACAGTTCTGCTTAGGACTTTGACAGCTTAGCTTTCTTCCAATTTAAACTTTCAGGAAAACCAACTATAAACTAAGGGTATCTACTGATGGCTTCAGGTGAGACAAATTTAAAATGCTTTTTGAGCTAGGTCTGGCTCCAGTTCCTTCCTTAAACAACACAGGAACACACAGGCCAGCAGAATGCCTCTGCCTGCCTGCCTGTGTGCTGCCTATCTGCATGCATGAATGCTTACCTGTCTGCTTGCTGCCTGCCTGCCTGCCTACTTACCTACCTGCTGCCTGCCTACACATGCCTGCCTATTTGCCTGCCTGCCTGCCTGATACCTGCCTGTATGCCTGTGTGCTGCCTACTTGCATGCATGAATGCCTACCTACCTTCTGCCTACTGCCTGCCTGCCTACCTCCTGCCTGCCTGCCTACCTGCCTGCATGCATGCTGCCTGCTGCCTACCTGCCTGCATGAATGCCTACCTGTCTTCTGCCTGCCGCCTGCCTACCTACAGCCTGCCTGCTTACCTACCTGCTGCCTGCCTACACATGCCTGCCTATTTGCCTGCCTGCCTGCCTGATACCTGCCTGCATGCATGCTGCCTGCTGCCTACCTGCCTGCATGAATGCCTACCTACCTTCCACCTACCACCTGCCTGCCTACCTGCCTGCATGCATGCCAACCTACCTTCTGCCTACCACCTGCCTGCCTACCTACCTGCATGCATGCCTACCTGTCTTCTGCCTGCCGCCTGCCTACCTACAGCCTGCCTGCTTACCTGCCTGCATGCATGCATGCATGCTGCCTGCTCCCTGCCTGCTTTTTTCTCTCTTCCTTCCTCTACTCTGTTCCTATTCTTTTAACTTGTTTTCTCCCTGCTCCTTCCTCTCTGGTCTTTCCTTCACACCTCTCTCCCCTCTCCTTTCTTTTCCTTCCCTTTCCTCTTTCCCTCTTTTCTTCAGACCTTTCTCTTCCGCCTCTCACGGTTTTCTTCTTCTGGTTGTTTACCCTCCTCCTTCGCTAGCTTCTCTCTTGGTTCTGCTTTCTAACTTTTCACTATTCCACTCCTTAATTCCTTTCTCTCCCTTTCTCTCCTCCTCATTCTGCTTCCTTCCCAGTTTTTCTTTCTCCCCTTCCTGTGGCTTTCTTTCTTCCACTTCCTTGTCATTTTCTCCCACACCCCTTACTTAGTTTTCTTTTAAAAACGTTCTAGGTGTGTGGGCAAAATCCTTTCCCTAGATTTGTTCCATGCTGCCGTTCTCGTTCACCAGCTTCAAGCTACACAAACAAAGAGAAACAAAAGGTTTATAAGCATGTCTTATTTCCAAAGCAATGAAACATTTTGATTGAGCATAACTCAGTAAAATTAGTGAAAATATTAAACTTGCGCCTCACTAGCGCCTTCCTTTGCAAGATTGTTCCGTGCAAGTTTCTTTAAAAATCTCCGAAGCATTAAATCCTCATTAACACAAACCCCGTGTATTTATGGTGTCAACGTATGTTTCAGAAAGCCGAAAGCAACCGTTACACGAGATGCTTCATTATCAATAATCTGGCATCATGCCTTTTATGTGTCATCTCTTCACACAATACACTATCATTGATGACTTTCAGCAAATACATCATGGCAAAGGATTACTCTCATCAGAGGCAGCCTTTGAAAAGGATATGCTAATTTCTAGGGAGCAAGAAAACATCAAAACAGTGCCAGCAAATAGCCAAGGGACTCTTATGTCTTAATTTCCCTTAGAACAGCCCTATCTCTTGGTGCAGCGTACAGCACTCTATAAACAGGAAGCAAACAGCCACAGCATCAAAGGAGCGCCCGGCCGCGCCTGTTATTTCAGATCAGATTTAATAAAGGTTATCTGCAGTGGGCTAATCAAACAAAAGGGGGCATGTTTTAAACAGCCATTTGATAATTTTCATTTCAGGGGCCCTATCAAAGAGCTCTCAACAATAGCTTGAGTCTCTGTTGAGCCCTGGCCCCTCCTGTAACGGAAAAATCCCTTTATCGGGTGTGAAGCTGCTTTACCCTACATTTTTAGGAGATTCTAAGTTTAAGGTGATCAGCGTATCCAAAGTTGGTTTATTTTAATGCCATCCTTGATCTCAATATATATAGGAACCAAAAATCCAAAACGGGAACTGTGTGGTAGTGATGCCCACATTCAGAGCCAGGCAGATTGTGAGTCCTTCACCTGTCCCCTAAATACTAGCTTTTCCCAATAGTGTGAGCTGGATGTAGGGCTTCATGGCCTGACCTTGACATCAAAAAATATACTTGCAGAAATAGTACAGCCACTGGGATTCTGACTTAGGTATCCAAAATGACTTCCGACGTTCCACTATGGGTGAAGAAGTTAACCAAACCCGCTCTGTTTTGAATATACAGGGCCTTGGTCATCATAAGCCTGGAGACGCAGAGAGCAGAAGACAACTATGCAAGACTGGCTGTGCTGTTCTGTGGTGAGAGCCACTGCAGAGGAGAAGAGCACAGTTTCCCACCACACCCTCTCCTGCCCCCTCCCCCGCCCCCCCCTCCCGGCCTTGACTGCTCCACTTCCCAGCTGTGCTCACTAAAGGTTCCCCACATTGGCAAGTCAAACACCCTCACTCAGTTCCTCCAAGCTGATGACCCTGGAGGTAGGCGGACCAATGGACCACCTGTCCTCTGTCTCATCAGGGGAGAGGGCGTCAGGAGGGAAAAGGGCATCTTCTCAGGCTTGGGTCTGGCACAGCTTGGATCCAAGTGAGTCACTGTGCTAAGTCCTCCCTTTGAGGTAATTCCAAGCAAATTCAACCTCTCTTGGCCAGCTAGGGGTTTATTTGGTTCCATGGGCATGTAGGGGTGGAGGGAGATATGGGAGACTGTGGCTGAGGACACCTGCTTTTTGGGTGGATTTCCCCACACTCCATACCCTTTCTTTCTGTGCCCCTCCAAAGAGAAAGACCTGCTGGGGCCTTGCCCCCAGCTCTGCTACAGAGCCCAAGGAGAGGAAGGGAGGGGCCCCTCTGGCACTAGGCCTGTAGCCTATCCGTCTCAGGCCATCCTCAGGCAAGGCAAGGGCTCCCCCCCCCTCAGCTGTTGCCATGGCAGGGCACTATGCCCTGGGGATCCAAAGGGACAGACACTGGTGGCCAGAGCCAGCAGGGTCAGTGCAGGGCTGGGAGAATGCCATATGCCAGGACTTGAGGCTCGGGCTGAATCAGCCAGCAAGTCGCCCATCCATCGAGAGTGAGAACCTTCCGGCTCCTTGTTGAAGCAGCTGGGGGGCAGGGGCATTCTGTGCTTTGTGGAGAGACAGCCTGTGTCTTTCATCTCTTCCCTGGCCCTCTGGCCTCCAACAGAGTCCTGACTATGCCTGGCTCAGGCTCACCACATGTCTAGAATCGGGGCTACGTGAGAGTCATGCCGATGGGGCCCCGGGGTCGCAGAATTGAGACCCCAGTGGTCCATCTGCCCCAGACCCTTCCCAGACCCAGCATCCAACTCCCACAAGCAAAACTCAAGCTTGACAAATTCCCACACCACTAGCAACCCAACCCATCCGAATTCCAAACACTCACTGTAATCTCCCCACCCTGATATTCTGTGTAGGAATCTGATAAAACAAAAACTCAGTCACTCCCACAAACAATGTGGCCTGCTGCACCATCCATCCAGGATAACACATCAAAGCGCCAAGGACAGAGCCATAAACATCAGTCTTTAGAACCCCCGGGAGCTTTACAACACCCCCCCCATCTCTGCCCCACCCCTTAGGAACGTGTGCAGGCCAAGTGTGGTTTGCAAACTCTGGGATGTCTTTCAGGACAAGTGTCATTACTTTCTGAGAAAGTCGGCCTGGGAAAAGTTCAAGGGGAAACAAGCTTGTCAAAGTCAATTTTTAAATGCTTGCTTGTCACTGGGATTCAGCGTTTCATTTTTCCTGCCTTGTAACTTAAGTTCCTGCTAGATGGGAGGCTGCCTAACTCATGGGCAACTTGGGGCTCCAGGCAGCTTCCTTTTAGCGATGCTTTGGATTCATTTACTCATTCAGCATTTACAGACCAGGTTTCTTTCCTCGTAAACACAGAGAGACACCCAGGAGAGTTCAAGGCTATTCTGTTCTGCAGGAATGGAATATACCACACCTCAAGGTTTTGATCACTTTGATCGCTCTATTATCCTATCAGGTTCACTGGCGACTCAAAGGGATCCATGAAAACATGGATTGATCTGGATTGTAGGCCCGCTTAGCCATTTATCAGCTTTGGGGGCCTTGCTTTCCTCTTGGGCTTTGGGGCTGGGAAGAGAGCTTAGTGGGCAGAGCTTTTGCTGGACCCAGGGCCTGGATTTGGATCCTCAGAACCTGTATAAAGCCAGATACAGATCCATCTGCAATCCTAACACTTCTGCAGTTAGCTGACAGGTGGAGACAGGAGAACCCTGGCAGCTTGTGAGCCATCTAGCCTGGAGCATGCAGTGATGAGCTAGAGACCCTGTCTCAAGGTAGAAGACAAGAACTGACTCCCAAGACTGAGTTCCACTCATGGGTCATGGCACATACACAAAGGTTTTCTTTAAAAAAAAAGTTTGTTTGAGGATGAAAATATTTAGAAAGGAAACGCCATTGAACCTTTAGTATGGACAGGCATGAAACTTAGCATGGACTATGCCTCTTCATGCACGTGGAGATCAGAGCACAGGCTGTGGGAGTCGCTTCTGCCCTCTCATGAGTTCCTGGGATCAAACTGAGGTCGGCAAGTTTAACACTACGTTTTCTGCCCAGGTAAGGCATCTCCCTGGCCCAGCTTTTCTTAGTCTTCTCAACTCTACTGTCATGGAGGCGTTATTGTTTGAATTTTACAAAATGAAAGGAAGGTCAGAGAAGCTGTGTAAGTTATGTAAGGTCACATAGCCATCCAGTGGTGCAGTTGAGATTTGAACTTGGATCAACATTTAGAATATAAAAAAGGCAAATAATCCTTGCCCAGTTGGACACAGTAGCCCCGTGAGGACAAATAGAACATTCCCACCATCACAGATGGTTCTACTGGACAGTGTTGACAAGACACTCATTGTAAAATGTATTTAGCAATGGAATTACCTTTTTTCCTCATAAAATCATACACAAAATTTAACTGTGTTGAAAATGAACAAATGAGCTACTTTCAACTGAATTTCCTTTCTAAAGTCAAATTAATAACTTTTGCTAATTACCCAATTAATGGAAAGCATATTTTTGTGTATGTGTGTCTATGGTGGTGTGTGTACACATGTCAGGGGTGGTGTGCTTGTACATATGCGCATATGTATTTGGATGCAGGAGTTGACATTGACGTCTTCCTCAATCACTATCCATTTATGTTTGACGGTCCCTCACTGAACCTGGAGCTGACTGATTGGCTAGACTGGTCAACAAGCCCTGGAATCCTCCTGTCTCTGCCTTTCCAGTGCTGGGATTACAGGCACATCCCAAAGCTTTTCATGGGTGCTGGGGATCCGAACTCAGGTCCTTATGCTTGTATAGCGAGCTCTTTACCAACTGAGCTCTCCCCACAGTCCCTCAAAACATATATGTTAATTTCCATGCTGCTTGCTTTCAAATGTTTGCATTATATAGCATTTCATAGGCATGCAAGAAAGCTTAAGCTGTAATTACATAAAGTCTCATGAGTAATGATGATGTTGACATCCACCTAACCACAGCCAAGTGAAGAAACCCAGCATTGTCAGGAGTTGAAGCAAGATCTCTCCTTCCTCACACAGTCTGCCCTTTTCCAGTGTCATCTACATCCATCTTTTGGAGTTGATCATTGGAAGGCTAATTCAATTGATGACGACAGCAATCCAATTCAAGGTTATCGATTCAAACAGCACATTACAGCTCATGATTTACAAAGTTTCTATATTTGTAATTTTGTTTAAAAGAAGTAAGAGAGCAATTGTATTGCATGACACAAGAAAAATTATATGAAATTTAAATTCCAGGGTCTGCAAATAATGTATAGTTAGTACAAAACCATGGCTGTCTCTTATGTGTGTCCATAGCTGCTTTTGTATGATGGGCAGAGCCATGTAACTGCCACGCAGATGGCATGCGTCTTTCCCCAAGCCAAAAATAATTCATTGTCTGCCTACTTCTGGTCTAGATAATAATTCATTCCCACACAAGCCTCCACATCTAATGTGTAAATTATTTCTACATTTTCACCTTGATTGTGTAATAACAAGCAACCTCTGATTCACACATACAAGATTTTGACGCTGTGGGTTTTTTTGTTTTGATTTTTTTAATTCCCATGCATCTTGCCTTACAACCTTAGGATATACTATAATTAAGCTGATCTGAAGACTTGAAATGGAAGGTTTGAGAATCCATTTCCAAGTTCAGGCATACATGATATCTAACTTTGCCTTGCAATTTGTGATCGCATTTGTAGAAGTAAAATATTCTTAATAAAATAATTAATAATTATTAAATTAGGGGGGGAAATCTCCCGTACAATATATCGGGTCATAGTATGTGATAAGCTTCCCTGTTATGGTGCTATAAGCTGAGGAGAGAGAGAGAGAGAGAGAGAGAGAGAGAGAGAGAGAGAGAGAGAGACAGAGACAGAGACAGAGAGACAGAGACAGACAGAGACAGAGACAGAGACAGACAGAGAGAGAAAGAGAGATCAGCACACACCAATGGCTATGCTATCCTCCTAGGACCTTCTTAAGTGGCTCCTAAACCCTAAACTCAGGCACCACCATTTCCTAGTCCGCCTCCTCAGTGTCCAGCCTCTGCTGTGGGATGTCTTTCTGTATGCTGTGAATATGTGTTGTTCTGATTGGTTGATAAATAAAGCTGCATTGGCCTATGGGAGGGCAGGATAAGGTTAGGCAGTACATTCAGACTGAAGATGAGACGAAGAAGGGTGGAGTTAGGGGAGAAGCCAGTCCGCCACCCAAGGAGCAACAAGATACCCACAGACCAGTAACACCACAGCCATGTGGCAACATATAGATTGATAGAAATGCATTGAGTTAAGTTATAAGAGCTAGTTAGCAAGAAACCTGACCCATAGGACATACAGTTTGTAAGTAATATAAGCCTCTGTGTGTTTATTTGGGACCAAGCAACTCCCAGATGTTGGTTGGACAAGACCAGAGAAACTTCCGGCTACAAGCACCAGGTTCCAATAGACCCCACTTTCCCTGACTTCTTACGATTTTTTCCCCCAGGCAGATTCGAGAGTCTGGCCCAGCCCTTCCATCTCTCTGTACGTTGATTCTGGAATCTTCTTCCCAGAACCAGGCAAGCATTTCCAGCTGGTCCCTTGAAAGAAGGGCTTCTAGTCTGTCCCACTACAAAACTCTCCGACCTTGGACTCTTTGGAAGCAAGGAAGCCAGAGGCATTTCATACCCTTGTGCTACCCTCACTGTTCTGACCCCAAGACAGGTGCATTTTACTTAAAGATGTATTTTTATTGTTGAACTTTAACAAAACTGATTAAAGATCAAATTATTCAAATGCTTGTTTTTAAATGTATGAATTTCAAAACCTTTAGATCAGTGGTTCTCAACCTGTGGGTTGTGACCCCTTTGGGGGTCAAATGACCCTTTCACAGGGTTCAACTAAGACTATCAGAAAACACAGATATATACATTATGATTCATAACAGTAGCAAAATTACAGTTATGAAGTAGCAATGGAAATAATTTTATGGTTGAGGGTCACTACGACATGAACTGTCTTAAAGAGTCGCAGTATTAGGAAGGTTGAGAACCACTGAGCTAGATGCTATTCCAACATTTCTTTTAAAGTGACTTCATATCCATTTTTGTATGATTGCATGTGGAAGACTGCAAAAGGGGTAACTCACAAGGACAAAAACAAGAACTAACCGTTTCCAGTCAAATCCTGGGTCCTGTTTCAGCAGACAGCTCTGAACTTGAACCTCCATCTCTGCTGTTTGAGGGTCAGGGAGATGAGCAGGTTAGAGGGAAGTTTAATCGGCTCTCATCTCAGGTCCAGCCTTTCTCCTTCACTGAGATCCAGGAGTTGACAAGAAAGCTGGAAGGGGAAGAAACCATGACCCTAGTCAATTCCACACCACCTGGGTTCTATGCCTTACACACTACAGCCATCTCTCCCTTCTGGAGTCACCCCACCCATATATTGGGCAACAACGTAGATGGGAGCCCAGATTTTGGTGTTCCTGGCAAGTTCTAAGCCTGTTTTCCCTTCTAGATGGGATAAATAGCCCCTCACCTCCAAGGTCTAGCACAAGGATGAAGTGAGAGATAATGTATGAAGTATCTAACACAGCTACCACCACATACTAGGTGTGCAACAAATGTCTTCATTCATTCAACAACTACCCAGCAGTGCCCTCCAATGTGTTAGATGGCCTCTGTTTGCCCTCCAGGAGTTATCCTCCTGGTGTTAATGGCTGTCAATGAGCCCATGTAAAGCATGTAGGGTCCTCCTCTTCTCCATAGCCATATCATTTTAGGCAGTCACTGGGGATGTGACTAGGATTTTATGCCAGTCTTGTCTGACTGCCGTTGGCCCTGCCTCATTCCTTGCCCCAGTATTCTCATCCTGGACTTCGTACAGAGACATCCTTTGTACGTCCACTGAAAGCTTTGTGGTACAGAGCTCTGCTCTCACAAATGAGATCAAAGATGCCAGGTAACCAAGGCAACCTGTAAGGGAGACTCTGGGATGCCAGCCTCCATTCTGAGCCATCTAGGCTGGAACTGAGCTGTGTTGTAAATGTTTTCCAAGTGGGAATCGGAAAGCTGGGAGCACATAAGCATTCCCCCTACCCCATTTCTCTCTTTTTGAGGAGCAGAGCAATGAAGCTCAGGTTCTAAGACCACCCATTAGCATGGGTTCCTTTGAGTACTGGCAGGTGCTTGAAGTTCTAGAATGTTCTAGTGGAGAGAGAAAAGCCGGGCAATGATCAAGAACAGCCTTTCTATAAATATATTTTTCCTGGATCTTACATTCTTATACTTAAAGAGAAACCTCAAGCCCTAAGTCTACCCCTTCACTGTTTCCCAGAGGAAGCTGGTACTATGGAAAGTCAAAACTATCAGGCAACTGGGTGAGTGAGGATGAGTCCTATACATCTCTGGTCATTCATCTTTAATGGTGAATAGGGGAAGGACTGGTTGCTCTGAAGTCCCTGTACTCAGAATGGCCGAATGACTCTCCTGTACCCTGAAAGACAGAGCAGGGGGATCACAGGCAGAGGAGCCCCTACATGCCCAGCACCCCACAGCAGGACAGAACACTGCTTCTACTCCAGCTCCCCTGACCCGTCACCCCTCCTCAGGGCACACTGCAAGGCTTATGTATGTATGAACAAACCATCAATGGCAGTCTAGACCTTGACAACCACTTTTTGTTACGTTCCTCACAGCATGATCTTTATAATAGGTTGTATTTAGAAGGCTGCTGATGTCCACCTTGTGTATGGAGCTTTCCAGATGTTCAATATCCCAGCACAATCAACCCAGGGTCATTTTGGCTAGACAACTTAGGAAAAAACTATATGAAAACACAGGTTTCCAGCCCTGAATTTTAATTAGGACAGAATTTAATGCAAAATAAATTATCCATTTAGATTAATTTCCTGTGGGTATCTACAGACTTTTATAGCAGATAGAATGCTTTGGGGAAGCAATAGAAAACTTCTATCAAGTCATCCTAAGCACCAAGGGTAACTTCTCGGCTCTTATAAGGAAAAGTGCGAAGGCATAGTGGCCTACACCTTTAATCCCAGCACTTGGGAGGCAAAGGCAGGTGGATCTCTGAGTTCAAGGCCACAGAGGGAGTTCCAGGGCTATATAGACAAACCCTGCCTCAGAAACAACCACAACAAAGAGTTCAAAAGTAATATGGGCTTCAGGAGTAGTTCCATTTGGCTATTCAAACCACCATCACAGTTCAAGTATTTTTGGCTCAGTTTTCTCCATGTTCTACAATGTGTTGCCTTCATTGACTGGGTATCTTAGAAAGCAGGACCCTGAGAGTATGCCTCTGGTACAAGTAGTTTATTGCAAGATGGTTCCAACCACCGCCACCCCCACACTTCCCCACCCCCAACCCCCGTAGGTAAATGGATGAAATGAGTCAGGGAATGATAGGTAGCCAATACAGGAGTCAGTAAGGGACCACCAAAGACAACTGAGGTTTAATCACACCAGGAACTTAAGGAAACAGTGAAGCGCATGCATGCAATGCATATAAGAGGGTAGGGTATGAATCTACATATTCTCGTTGGTAGCTATTGGTTGAAAAGTTGGTTTCATGCCCATGAACAAAAATGCCAGCAGATTCCAAGGCCTCCCACTCATTCTCCTGCCCCTCAGATGCCAGCATCCCAAGCAAAACCAAGAGTTACTCTGAACAATTTGTCATGCTCACTCATGCAGCCCTGAACCAGCTGTAGGGCCAGGAAGGGACATGTGCCATTGGCCTGATATTGCAGGATGCTGTCGTCCACCAACTACAACATCCCTGTCAAATAAGGACCATGGACTGTGGACAAAGTGGGAGAGGTGCAGGACACAAACACACCCTGGGCAGCAAAGATGGGCCAGTCTGCACTAAGTGAAAGACACTGGATTACTAACAGGGGCCTCCTAAGGGGTCACAAACCCAAATGCTCAGATGTCAAGTCATAGCATTAGCCGCTGAAGCCGGCCAGAGGGGAGGCTGCTGTGTTTAGGGTGCACACCCAGCCAGAGCAACCAGACCTTGCACTCAGCTGTAGCCAAGGACTGCCACAAGGGAATGTGGGTCCAGGGGTGCCAGATTTTCTGATATTTCAAGAGTAGCCAGAAATCTGGATTTTTATATGAACACTCCCCATCTGAAATGTTGGAAATGAATTCAAAATGTCTTGGCTCTTACATGGGCCAAGTGACACACATCTGCGAGCCAGACACAACCTTGGATTGCCAGTTTGCAGCCTCTGATGCAGATCCACCCCATAATTTACTGAAGGGAAAATCAAACTGTTCCAGAGACCGTCAGTGACTTACCCAAAGTCACGCAGCAGATCCATAGTGGAGCCAGGCTGGAACCCAGTGTCTCCATTGTGGTCCAACATCACACTCAGTGCTCAAGAAAGGACCATTCAGGACACAAACCAAGGATGGCAAGCTATACAGCCCTCAGGTCAGATTGGGCCAGCACTCTGTTTCTGTAAATAAAGTTTTATTGGAACACGGCCACAAGCATTTGTTTATATATTGTCTGCTGCTGCTTTCTCATTACAGTGACAGAATGGAGTCATTGGGATAGAGACCACATGCTTCACAAGGTCAAAAATATTTACTGTCTGATCTCCATAGAAAAAAAGTTTACCAGCGGCTACTCTGGACACTTGACATTCACAGATGTCATATTTCTTGTTTCAGCTATTCAGGAGCATTCCCAAGGGTCTAAGCAGTATTAGCATTTGAATGTTATTTTACAGAGCGGCAGGTTGGGGAGGTGCATGCCCCAGGGTAGGGTAGAGGCTGAGCCCAGCAGCTGAAGTGTGTCTCACCCCTAAAGAGCTATTCCCATGAGAGGATGAGTAAGGAAATCACCACCCCCAAGGCCAAGTCTCTAAATGGTTTTGAGAGGAAAGGTGAGTTGAGGGGCATGATGAGGCTTAAGAATGCGAAGCTTCTTAGGAGTGGAAACTTTAGAGAGATAGGATTTGGTGATGATGGGTCAGCCAGATGGATGAAAAAGCCTGAGTTTGATCTCCAGAACACATGTGGAGGCAGGAAAAAAGCAGGTTGTCCTCTGACCTCCACATGTATGCTGTGGCATGCACCCAGACACTCCCCTCCCCCTCTCCTTCTCCCTCTCCTTCTCCCTCTCCCCCTCCCTCCCCCTGTCCCCCTCTCCTCCCTCTCCCCCTCCCTCCCCCTGTCCCCCTCTCCTCCCTCTCCCCCTCCCTCCCCCTCTCCTTTCTCCCTCTTCCTCTCCCCCTCCCTCCCTCTCCCTCTTCCTCTCTCCCTCTGTCTCTGTCTCTGTCTGTCTCTGTCTCTCCCCCCCCCCACACACACACACATAAAATAAATAAATAAAATGTATTTCTTTTTAAAAATTGAGCACTGGAGAGAGTGCTTGCTGCTCTTGGGACCCACATCAGGTGACTCATTACTGCTTGTAACTCCAGCCTTAAGGGTGTTGGATACCCTCTTCTGTCTTCTTTGGGCACCTGCATTTATGAGCATGCATGCATTCATCAAACATGCACACACACACATTAAAAATAAAATTAAATCTTTAAGAAATAAAAAGACTTTGGTGGAGGCAGTGGGTAAGACACATACCCTCTCCTCCCCACACCTTAAGGAACAGGAAAATGGGAGAGTGAAGTAGTGTTAGAGTCTGCCCCAAACTACACAAGAGTCATGTGCGGAATAAGTGAATAAGAGA